TGTCTTTCCTGGCTCTGCGATGCCGCCAGGTACTTCCCCTCCTCGCGTTTTCGAGGTCGATGGTCGGGTCGTCCGTCCGCAGCTGGTAGTACCACTGGTAGTTCCTCCGGCATCGTACATCCAGCAGAATGCAGACGTTAGGAGGCGCGGCTTTCGGGTGGTGCCGGAGGTTGCCCTGTATCTGGGCCCCGCGCCGCTTTGCCGAAGAAACTAGGTGACGTCTAGTGTTTTTTTCTTCAGAAATGGTGGACTCGAAGGTCTCCCTGCAGTAAGGCAGGCTAAAGAGTCTTGTTCCGTCTACTCTATTACCTCTGAATGAAATTGTTTAATCGACGTACTGCACTGATGAGGTGGTTTTCCCAGGCAGTGGATTGTAACTAGTGATGGGGCGACACGTTTTCCGAAACAGGTTTCGGATCCGAATCGGGGGTTTCGTAAAGTTTCGGAAGAACGGCCGAACCTCGGTGTGTTTCGGGTAGGTTCGGGACGTTTTCAGTCAGATCACATTATTGAGCGTTGCAACTTTTTTTTTTTAAACAAACCATTCTTCTAAATTACATGAAATGATTAAGAAATTAAATATAAATTCACCATATTATGAAGGAACCCTTCCAAGTGGTTGTCGGCGAGGCAGTTCGATTGGGTCTGTGTATAACGTTGACGGGAATTGTGTACCACGGACCCACTGTCTTGGAAGCAAGTATGTCTGAACACGGGAAAAGCGAGCGCGTCGCCGGCACATTCTCCATTCCACATGCGACATCACCGCTTTAGTGTGACGTCGAAAACCGTGCGTTGGTGTGCGCTGCGCGCGCCGGTAAGCGGTCGCAGCTTTATCGGTCGACGCTTAAACCCTTTGCAGCCACATTTCCCCCGTTGGGAATTTGGCGCGACAAAACTCCGTCCCACGACTATAGTGTATAGTGCAACGGCCGATAGAAAGTTGACGATTCGTTTGTGAGATATCGGGTGATATGAGCTGCGCTGTGTTTACAAACAATCGCATGATTCAGCGACGGAAGGCTCTGGCGCTCAACTCGATTGCGGACTTCGTTTTTGTTTGTTTATGCGTAGCAATTTTATCGATGGACTTCCACCTCTAGACCTACTCGCAGACATGGGGAAAGGCAAAAAGACAAATGATTAAAGTGTACGCAGTAATCCCCCAGCCGAGAACGAAAAAGAGAACAAATTAAAGATTAAAAAAAAAAGGGGGGGGGGGGGGGGGAGGACAGACGGCGCCTGAAACTCAACTACAAGGTCTTCAGTGCCACAGACGCAAACGTTTCTCCTTTACAACTCCATGAGAAGAACGAACTGTCTCGGGGATCGCCGTTTTGTTCAGTGGGAAAAGCGTTTCGTTTTCGATCTGGCCACGCCTACTACGATTGGGTAACTATTTGTTGGCTAGACTGGGCTGGGCATTCTCATCTACCTGTGACATTGACCCTGCTGTCATCTGGAGTTGAACGGACCACAAGGCATCTTCAGGCACTGCCCCTTAGTCTTGGAAGGGTTCTAACACCCCGTTTCTTTTCTTTTTTTTTTTTCTCTTCCGAGTCTGACCGGTGACACGGTGTCTGTGGGAACGTCTTTGGCATCCGCGGAGTTTGTTGGCACGTGGGTTAGCCTTTGGCTCACTGTCTCTGGAGTTGGCGCTTCCTCCTGGAGTTCTCCTGCCGTGGCTCCATCTGGTTTCCCGAAAGCGAGGGGGCGTCGCCGGGCAGAAAGAGGGTGGGTGGGGTTGTCTCGGCGGCATGTTGTAACCTGTTTGCGCGAGACTCGGGGAGAGGGATGGCTTCAAAAATAAACGTCAACCGCCGGTGCCCGTTTGTTTTAAAAGACCACTTGCGACACTGACCCGATTCTGTTGAGACTCCCGCCCACTCCCCCTCATCCTCGCGACGAGGGGTTGTGGCTCGTCCTAATCCCCCTAGGTGTTCTTTTGTTGATCTCGGCGTCCCGCGGACGGATTCCAGCTGGTGGAACCAGTGACTTTAGGTGGAACTGGCGTGGAGCGTCGACAAAGGGTGCGGGAGAAATAGGCGGCGTGCTGTTCGTGCTGCGGCACTTGACGATGGAAAGTGCTAGGTTAGGAGGGCAAGGTTTTGGTTGTGAAAGTCGGGAGGGATAATTTTGCAGTCGGAAAGAGGTCGCCCCTCGGGCTATGAATGACGTCGAAGTTTATGTGGATGGCAAATGCGCCCTTTCAAAACGCCGTCAAGCAACATTGGCGGTCGCCATTGCTTGGGCATCTTGCGTGTGATTGGATCCTGATGAGTAAAAAATTAGCCACTGAGTTTGTTGCCAACCAAATTGATACCAGTCCTAAATCTGCTGCTGTCTTTACTGAGTTGGGTGCGAGTGTCCTTCAGTACCAAAAACTCCAGGAGAGTCCTCCCGTTGTGCCACGGCTCTACCGAGGCAATAAAAATGATAATGATTGACTTTACGTTTCCTTCGCTTCACGTGCTGGCTGATTGCAGGGCGTGAAGGTACTCTGCCCATTTAGAGGGCGCGAATTAGCAGTGTGTTGTTGCGTCATTATTATCACCGTCGTCATTTTAATCACGTTGAAGACCCTTACAAGCATTCTTTCGCCCCCCCCCTTTCCTCTCCACTGTTTCGCCCTAAGGAATTTATTCGGCCTGGTGGACGGCAAGGAACCGGAAGTGGTTCCGAGGGGTTGCTCCGGATGTTGGTAGCAGACGACGACGGTCACCCCCCCCCCCCCCCCCCCCCTTACTTTTTTTTTTTTTTTCCCATGAGAGTCTTGCTTTATCTCACCCTCTTTCGCGATCACCTCCACCCCGGGTGTTTCCGGTTTTCGAGCGGACAATGTCGGGAAAAAAAAAAATGGTTTTCTTTTTTAGGGAGAGTGCTGTTATTTCTGTTTTATTATTTATTTTTGTCCCTATTTCCTCGGGTACATTTGCTTGTGCCACGCCACTCCTTGGAAGAAAGACCGTTTCATCAGGCAGTATTCTGATGGGCTGTCATTGTCCGTGAGACACTTTAGTATTTTTTTTTCTTCCTCCCTAACCATCTCGATTTTTTTTTTTTTTTTTTTAATTATTGTCGTTGTGTTTTGTGGGCTTTCCGGAAGTGCTGCTTCTGGGATACTTCGCGAGAACGAGATATTGGGATTAGGTGTATACGGTGTCGATGGATGGATGGATGTTAATGGCTATTCCCTTTGTAACGGGCGGTAGCTTGCGCCACCTTGCCTAAGTCTATGCAGCCAGTTTTGCCCGCAACGGCAGCCTGTTTTTTTTTTTTTTTTTTTTTTTTTTAATGTGCGAGCTGCAGTTCGGCAGCGGTAGCTTGCGCTATCTTTCGCGCCACACCAATCGCTTTTTTTTTTTCTTAGATTGCATGCGTGTGACAGTTGTGCGAAAACCCTAAAAGGACGTCGCCAAAAAAAAAAAAAAACGAAAACGGAGCGACTTTGTTTAGTCGCCAGTTCTTAGTTTCCGCAGCCTTTGTGAGCTACATATGCTGGGGGGTCTAACCTCCAACCAGCGTAGAAATAAACTTTTTTTCTTTTTTTATGCAGGAGGTTGTATTAATTTTATTACTGCTTAGGTAGCCACATACCTGTCCATAGTTTTATTAAACGCAGCTGCCTCATTTGTTCTCACTGTGGCGCAAGAATAAGGGGGCTCCTTTTTAATGAGATACTGAGGCAAAGTGCAACAGATAAAAATTGTTTTTTCTATTCAGTTGAGGGCCGTTATTTAATTGTTCACTCGTTTAATGTGGAGCTGTTTCTGCCTATGGCAGAACAATTTGAAGCTATACTTCAAATTACTTCAATTCATCTGAAAGCATTTGTTTTAAATTCTTGCTTTAGATTGCTCAATAATGTTAATTAAACATGAGTGTCCCTGCCTATCGAACTTTGCGTGACTTTGCTTAGGATGAGTTGGTGGTTTATTCTAAAACACAATTTCACTCCGAATGAATGAGAAATGTTAAATGTTTTTATTCTGATCCTTGCTTCAGAAAAGTTGCTATTGCAGGCAACAGCGCATTCAGACTGCGCTTGATGCGTGCTCCTCTGTCCTTGGGTATAACCTAGCTGAAGGTATAGTGTTGTAGCTAAGGAGGCTGGGTTAGTATAGTGAGCTGGGTCACTAGATAGCGACTTGTTTTCTTTTTTAATAGTATAATTATTGAGTTGTGAAGATTTATTTTGGGATAGACTGAAGCCTAGTGGAAAGCAGATACAATATACTTAAAGGCGAAGAAGACTCAAAATTTGTTTCTTGCTCTTTTCTTATATTCTCATGCCAGGTCATGACTTGACTCTCTTTTGTTTCTGTGTGTTGAAAAGACATTTTTTTCTCTATACCAGAGTACCTAGTAGGAAAGCAAAACGCTATTAACTTGGCAGACAAAGATGACTAAAATGTCCCCCTCGGTTCTCTCATTTCCAGGCCAACACACTTGGCAGTGACTCCTCTTTTCTGTTTGCCTGTGTTGGGAAGACATTTTTTCTGGATATAGACCTTTTTTGTTTCCTGTCGTTCTCAGTCATGTGGGTTCCGTATCTGGTATGCGGGATGAAAATGTAAAACATTTCAACCTTTAATATGCAAGAAAATATAGGTGAGGAAAATCAAGAATCTGTGACAATTGCACATTTGTCGTAGCCTTCCAGCGGCGTGGAGAGATCAAAAAATGTTTTACTGCATACCAAAAGTGACAACATTCAAGATTGCTGCACCCTTGTCGAAAAGGTGTATGCCAGAAAGCAAGAAAGTGAAACACTCTTGACTTAGCAGACAAAGACAACTGATGCGTCTTCCTTAGTTCCCTTATTTCCAGACCAAATCACCAAGTGGTTCCCCCCCCCCCCTCCCTTTTTTTGTATGTTGGTTGTGGTTGGGGAGATACTTTATCTGGATATATCAAGTAGTAGTGGTAAAGTGAAACAATCTTCGCTTAGTGGACGAAGAAAACTCAAATCATGTCTCCCTCCGTTCTCCTACTTGCAGGCGAGCGACCCTTCCCCTGCACCTGGGCGTTGTGCGGCAAGCGCTTTGCCCGCTCGGACGAACTGGCCCGCCACTACCGGACGCACACCGGCGAGAAGAAGTTCAGCTGTCCGCTCTGCACCAAGCGCTTCATGCGCTCGGACCACCTCACAAAGCACGCCAGGCGGCACCCGGACTTCAGGCCCACCATGCTCGGAGCGGGCCGCCGCTGCCACCGTGCGGCAGACTCTCTTGGAGACAGTTCAGACCACTCGTTGCCCTCCTCGCCCTAGAAGCGGTTCTCCACCCCCTTTTGCCTTCCACCGCCGGACGACCGGACTTCGACGTTGCGCTCGTTTCGGCGACGGGAGTTGGGTGTAAAGGAGCCGCTGTTCGCGGTCAGAACTCGCGGTGTCGTTGTGTGGAACACTCAGTGTCGAAGGTTTGCTGTGGGGCGCCTGTGATCTACCCAGAAGGATCCGCACACCTTGGGACTTGATTGAACGGTCTACAATGGATCACTTACCCAAGCACGCGTTTGATCCGTCGTCCATTGATCCGGCGACTGAGATGGGTGTCGCGCGTTCGGCGAGCCGAATTCGACGCGCGGAAGTCGGGCCTCGGAACACTGGCGCCTTCTGCTTCGGGGCCCAGGACACTCGCCGAAGACTTTCGTTTCGGCGTCGGACTCGTCGGCAAGGTGTCAACGTGCTGGTCACATCTCGGCATTGGAGGAACCTGCAAGACGTTGTTGGTCGGAGCGCACCAGCGGTCAGATGTGGCCGGAACGGATGGCACTTGTTTCAATGTGGGCATTGTCTGTGCTGTCCTGTGGTAACCGTAAACCTGTTCTTTTTTTGTTTGTGTGTGTGTGTGTTTGTTTTGCAAGGAAAACCTCGATGGAGGTTGACCTTTGTTTTTACGGCATAGTTTGTTATTTCTAGTTTTACCTGTAGAGTTCTGTTTGCTCACCATTGGTTCATATTTTCAAGACCGTTTAAGATTTTGTTTCTTTAATATATCTCACCTTTTCTTTTTTTTTCGTGTTACTTGCTGAAAAGTTAGGTTCTCCAACGATCTGCTTTGTACCAGGCGTTTTCACTCGTCTTATTATCCCCATCCTTTTTTATGTGCTTCAACTTTACCTTTTTCGAGTAAACACACATCTTTTACTTTTTTCTGTTTTAGACCTTACCATCTCTTTCTACGCACATTCTGACTGGGCAGTGGCGTAGTTTTGCTAGGGAGCTGAGGTGGCTGGGACGTCCATGAATTAGGGAGGGGAAAGAGGGGGTCAAAGTGCATGTGTATATATTATAGTGTACACTGGATTTCGGGGGAAGGGGGGGGGGGGGGGGTGCGGAAGCCCCGTAAGCCTCATAAGTCTACCCCCTGGATATGCCACTGTGACTGCGTAACAAGAGACGCTCCAGATGTATTGGTGGTTTGCTCATAATTTACTCCCTCTACTTCTTGTACTACCTGAACATCCCATTGCCTAAGTCCAATCAAACCAATCTACAAAAGAAAAAAAGGTAATGTTTGGCATTTGAATAACCACGATTCAATCAGATGTTTGCTCAAAACAACCGTTTCCATTCTTTTCACCAACGGTACGTCATCCCATTCTCAAGATCTCGCCAGAGGTGTGTTCGGACATCATTTGCTAAATGCAATCCAAAATCTGACATTTTCTCGGTAATTTCTCTTGTCCTTACAACATGAAATCCTCAAAACAAAATCAACCTTCTCTTTTTCTTGCACCGTGAGCTTCTTCACGGTTCATCTGATTGGCAAAAACTTGTCCCTTTGATCACATCTGTGTCCCCCTTCCTGTAAAGTGAATGTATCCGTCTAGTAGTGCCTTGTGGTGCCTTGAATGGGCTGAAGAGTGTGTTCAGGCTCAAGTACTGGGGAAGTCTTTGTTGTAGGTTTTTTTTTTCTTCTGGGGTTTGTTTTTGTGTTGACGTACCTTGTACCTGCAATCCTTTCTTACCTCATATCTCAACCAACCAAATCCACGGGGACCCCCAAATGTCTTCCGGCACCTCCCACGAGCGGACGTGGGCCAGTTCTAGTTGCGTTTTCCTCCCCCGTCATTTTGTGTTGATGAGAGCTTGTCGAAGGCATTTCCTGGCATGATTGAGCTGATCTTGCTTCTAGCTTTGTAGCATTCCTGATTGCCCGTTTAGCAGGAATGGAAGCGGTGTCTATGCTTTGTCTGCACACAGCTACGGCTGCGCTTATATTGAGGTTGCTTGCGTTAGCTAAAGTTAGCTTTGCGGGTAAGCTGAGAGTCAGTTTTGCGCTTAGCAGATTTCGTCTAGGGTTTTCTGCCAGAGCTTAGAAGCTGGATCGTGTATACTACATACCAGTGAGCTTCAGTGACTGGTGCATCGAGGGGCACCCCTGTATTTAACTTATTCAACTGTATTTAAAAGCACAATAGTTAGGTTTATTGCTGTTGCATTTTTGTCTTTGTTGACATATGCTATCTTCTGTGTGCATGTAAAGATTTTGTGGCTGACGAGTGCTAATAAAGCTAAAAGCTGACAAAATGGAAATACTCTGGGGTAATATTAGTCATAGCACTTAATTGAATGACTCAATTCGATAATTCTTCACTTTCAAATGTTTTTTTTAATCCTTTTTTACTTGCTGGAGTATGGCAAGGTTGTTTTGAATGATTGCATTGTTTATTGCTTTTAATGAGTTGAGGATGCTAGTTTTATCTCCATTGATTTGTTTTGTTCCTTGTATATAGTGTACAATATTAATTATACAAATGTGTTGCATGAAATGATTGTGTTTTGTTATATTTGTTCTGCTCCGACAAAAGGCTCTCGCATTGCTTTCGTTTTTGCACCAACGCGATAAAAAAGAGTATTGATGTAATGGCAAGCCTGTACTTACATACACCACTATATTTGTATATATCTATCATATGAACACACTAACTACTGATCCCATAGATTCCCTTCCTATAAGATGGTAATCCAGCGGTGTGTTCTGGAGGGCACCTAATTTATATGCCAAAAATAAAAAGTTGTTGGATGCAACTGTTTGTTCTGTTGTGTTGTCTCGGTACTGTGACGTTGAATTGCGAAAAAGCTTGATTGCCATCGGAGGCATTCTGTAAACTGTTTGGGTGACTGAACTAGAGGTATTTATAACTAAAAGTTAAAAACAATATGCCAGTAAAGTAAGCCGGCATTCAGTCGAGCAACGACTTACCAAAATAATACCGCAAGACTTTTTTTTTTTTTATTACAATATTTTGTTTTATCTTACGTCCGGACGCAGCGGACGGTACGAGCTACCCTAGCCAATCCCACTCTGGACGTAGCCCGTGACACGCTTTCCGCACGTCGCAGTGTCCACTCTTCAAGGTCATGTGACACTCACCTGGCCTTGTATTGGCTCCGATGGCTCGTACAATCCGCTGCGCTCGGACGTAAGGTGAAACGGAGTATAAGTTTTAGTAGATCGTTCCGATAGCCTGCTTTCGCGCATGCAATATCATCATCGAAGCGCACAACCAATCGACTGTGTGTGTCAAGGAGTGGCCAGGCTCTTTAAATCGACTGCAAAATTAGGTTTAGCCGAAAATGATGATCAAATACTGCATTGGCCACAGGCATCGGAAAAGCTCGCGCCGCTTTTGAGTCGAAAAGATCGTTTGCTAAGGACGCCGGCTCTCGGCGACGTATGCTCGTTCGGTGGCGCAGTTGGCATCGCGACCGCTTGCGCCATCTCTTGTCTCCCGTGCGAAACGGCGCCGTATTGTTTGAAGACCGGTGGCTTCGCTGCGTTTCCATAGGAGCTAAGCCTTTTTCTATCTTTACTTCTTCCTCAGGTAAGTTCGCTCTTTACAAATTTTGCAAAAAAAAAAAAAAAGAAATGCACCATAAGGCTCGTTCACACTCTTGCAACCGAGTACGACCGAGAGAGACCAGACTATACTCCGTTTCACCTTCCGTCCGAGCACAGCGGACGCTAGGAGCCATCCCAGCCAATGCGGCGTTGAGGGCGTGTCATGCGACCTTGAGCTCCCTGTGTCGCCCCGCCCCACCGGCAGGTCACGTGACTTTCTCCCGGCGCTGGATCGGCTGGGATGGCTCGTGGCGTCCACTGCGCTCGGACTGAAGGTGAAACGGAGTATAGAACCAGCCCCGTTTTTAAGCCTCTTTCAACGTCTTAGCACCATCCGGTTCTAAGACGTTGCAAGAGGCTTAAAAACTGGTCTGGTCTCTTTCGGTCGTACTCGGTTCCAAGAGTTTGAACGGACCTTCAGTGGGCAACGAAGAGCCTGGCCACTCCTTGATACACCCAGTATCTTTTGAAATTGCCAAACCAGCGCCGAGAGCAAGATGGTGGCGCCGTCCGGTGGCCACATGTGCAACTACATTGTCTTCGCGCGCTTCGGGATCTCGGAGGCGGCTTCCTCCGATTCGAGATCCCTTCGTGCCGTCCGTGCCGTCTTCGTGCGGAAATCGGTCGCTGCATCAGTGGTCGCCTCTTTCGGAGGCGCAGTGGGGGTCGGGACGACGGGTGTATCAACCCACCTGGCCCACCCGTACAAACCGCTTCGCGGCGCCCCGCCGTCCCCCGCTGCACCTGCGGAAAGGGATTGGGAGACCCGCGGATCTCTGAGGCCGTGTTTTCAGCTTACTGTTGTATTTAAAATTTTTCGCAAGTTCTATATATACTACCTAGATGGCGCCACTGTCCACCATTGAGCCCGTGCTGTCAGGGTCGCGTCCCCGTGGCGCGAGAATTACTACACATACTCTTGCGTAGCTTTGAATACGAACACTGAACATGTATTTGTGGAAACTCTTTGCATCATGTTTCGAGAATATGTTGTCTGAATACGAGAAACATTCGATTTCTTTCCAGCACTTGGAATAAAAGGTTTAACGATGATTAGTGAGACCCCCTGGACTAGAAAGTTGATTTCACGACAATAATAAATTACGCATCGCCGATCTGCTGACAGAATGAATCGTCCAAATACAGCGATAGCGGCCCGCACCAACGTGCATATAAATAAATAAAAATATAAAAAAATTACCTGCGAGAAAGAGTTTCGCGTTTTATTCTTTTTTTTTTTTTTTGTGATAGCAAATTATGGGGTTTTTTGGTTAAATTTTTGGTGTAGCGGTTCAAAAGGTTGGAAAGATTTCGAATTTTCTATATCGTAAAATTCGACAGAAATAGAATTTTCGGCCTTGTTAAACTAAGAAGTTCGACGCTTTTCGAACCGTCAAACTTATTACGCTAAAAAAAATCGATCCTTTTCGAACTTCCGAACTTATTACGCTGCAAAACTCGATACTTGTCGAACTTCCGAACTTGATAGACCAAACATTCAATGATTTTTTTAACTTTCATACTTCTTACACTAAAAAGGTCGAAGCTTTTCGAACTTTCGACCTTCCTACGCTCAGGAATACGATGATTTTTTAACTTTCTTACTTCTTACACTAAAAAGGTCGAAGCTTTTCGAACTTTTGACCTTCCTACGCTCAGGAATATGATAATTTTCGAACTTTCAACCTCATTTATCAAGAGAATTCGAAAAGTTTTGAACTTTCGAATCCTGCAAAGTCAAAAGTTCGACGAACTTCGACATTTTAGGGTAAAAGTTCGACGTTCGTCGAGCTTCGAAAGACCGGCGGACGGTTTCATTTAAATTTAAAATGTGAGGTACATTCGTAATTTTTTTCTTGAATTTTTACACGCGGTGCTGCGTTCCTTACAAAAGACAATGCCGTTTATTTCAATGTTCTGGCTTGCTTTGTTTTAAAGAAATAAATTCCCGAAGGGCCGAGGAAGGACGATGAGTTTTTGACGATTGTCGTTTGTGCCATTTATGGTAGAGACGTAGAGATGTTAAACTTTTTAAGAATGATCTATGTATAGCCTAGGTAAGTGTTGTCGTAAAATGTGATTATTGTTATTCAAAATGAGTTTCTAAGAAATGTCCAAACATGTAACTACAGGCAATTATGCGCTAAACTTTTTTTTGTCTAAGTTGTTTGGGGTATCGCATTTAAATTAACACCACAGACAGTACATATTATTGCCATTTGCAGAATACAAAATAATATATATATATATATATATATATATATATATATATATATATATATATATATATATATATATATATATATATTTTCACATTAAGGAATAAAATGACTCATGGGAGAATATTTCTAATATTGTTCAAATTCGGCACGTCATTAAAAAAATTTTTTTTTTCGCTTTACGTTTTTGGGACGTGTTTCTTATAGCCTGTACACATTTTGGTAGGAGAAACTTGTTTCGAAGTTTTTAGCCTCTGAATATGCAAGAATACAACACTTCCGGCCAATTCTTGATAGTTTTTTTTTCCTCCAGTTTTTTATCCCCGCATTCATTGTTATGTTTATTTGTTTATTTTTATTAATGGCACAGTTATTTATGTTGAAAAGACATGGCTTTGAACTTCCGAACCACTAAACATTTGACAAGCAGTGCCTTCTGACAACGAGTTTCCGACAATGACCATCTACGCGATCTTTTATGCAGTGAAGAGCGACATATGCACAAATAATTTCAGATTAAAATAAGCTCGACCCCGCCCTCTTTCCCCGTATTGTTTTCTTTAACAGTCCGAAATATCTAGAAGGAGGAAAGGGGGGCTGGAGGGGGGTTTCTCGGGGTCCATATCACAAGAGCGAATGACATTTTAGCGAACGGCGACATTTGAGCGAATGGTCGTTTTAGCGAATAACGGGGGCGCGCGTTAACCCATCCGTCGCGCTGCGCTTTACGCCGCTTCGCGGCGACAGTCTGCGGCAACTCATTACAGAAATATGAACTCACTTAGCCCACCCGAAAACGCCGCTTCGCGGCGTCCGACTATTCGCTAAAGTGTCGTTTGATGAAACGTGGGCGTTCGCTAAAACGTCATTCGATCAAGTGAGTGCCTCCCGGTTTCTCGTAGCCGGGTAACCAAAAAACTTCGATTCAAAGCTGCCACTGAATAACGATTTTTTTTTTTTTTTAATCTTGATTATTACCCGTACTGACCGGCATGACGTTAGCATTTGGGTCTCGGGAGTAAAGTTCAATGGACCTGAACCGGAAGAAAAGAGGGCACCGGGGGTGGGGGCTGCTGTCACAAATTTATAGATCTGAAGTTGTTTCATAACATTTGTCCCGGTTAACCTCGATTTCTTGCCTGGCACTGAAAATAAACACTAAAAAACACCAAATACAAAAAAAAAAAAAATCTTCGCAGACATGTAACGCAAGACGTGCGATGTTTTGTCAAGCGAAGAAGCATAGGCAGGTTAGCATTATAATTTCGGAGAACACGAAAGTTTTGGCATCGAGAAAACTTCAAAATTGAACTTTGACCAAAAACTATACCGAAAAGAAGGACATCCAGCAAAACTGTACAATCATAATTCATAACATAAAAGTTTGAACTGAAAACGAACGAACCGCAAACGCAAGCTTAAATTTGAATGCAGTTATGTATATCAAGACAATTTAGATGAGCTAACAACGGGGTAAAAGAAGCCGAAAGGAAGATGGCGGATGGTACACCAAGGGAAATCACCAGCACTCATCATGTACTGACAAAAACAGGAAAATAAAGGAAAAATAACTGCCCGGTGAGATAGCTCTTAGCTGTTTCTGTAGGCGAATCAACGTAAAAAGTTTACAGGGGCGCATAATACTACCTGAAAAAAAAAAGGTTAAAAACTATAAAAAAATAAAATAATTCTTATTTATATGATATAAATCAGATTACTTTGATTTAAATGCGAAATCATGAATGTCGTTCTTGCGCTTCCTTAGTTCGTCTGCGGTGTACTGGCGTGGGCGGCCACGTTTCGCTTCTGCCGAAGTTGCTTTGGGGCCGTGTTTGCACTGTAGTTTGTCCGCTGCTCCAGGTTTCAACTGGTCAGTTGCACCTAAATGAATTTTGCAGCCGTAAAAGTCGGCGACAAAACGGAGCTACGGCCAGCAGTATGCGGAGGGCAAGTTCGTCTGCTTCTTGCGCAGGGGGTAGCGGTGACGTCAGAACGCCGAGCCCTGACTGGCTGATCGCGACCCCCTATCTGAGCGTCGTTTGCTCCTTTGCAACGTCGTCTGCTCGCAACGCCGTCTGCGTATGTCTTACCTTTCCTGCGACTTTCGGAAGCGCAGAGGCCAAACAATCTTACGCCAAAAATGTGCGTAAGACAAAACGTAAGAACAAATTCGTATTCACGAAACGAAATTATCGTAAGTTTTGCGCAGGTTACGACGGAATCCTACGACAGCTCCGAAGCTGTCTTACGCACTTCTTACGATCAAATCAGCATGGCCGACAGCGTCGCGGTCGTGACGATCCACGGACGTTTATTTTTCTATGCGCGCTTCTCACGCGTCCCGACTTCAAGCAGCAAGAAAAAAGTAAAAAGTACTCGAAACAGACCACGACGAACAAGAACGCTGGATCCACAAACACCCGGGAAAGGCTCCAACGGCTACGATTCCACCGAACGCGACCAAGCGAGCGCGGCAGTTAGGCCTAGCAGGCACTCCGCGACTCGGCGACCGTCTGCCCACGACCGGCTGGTGTGCTGAATGGAATATGCCGCGCGACCCTTGTGAACCCTTCCCGTATTATACTTTAATCGCTGACCTTAGTTTTAGATTAAGAGGTCAATTTCTTCCTTTTGTTATCTCCTTGTTTTCCGAGGCAACGGTGACTCTCGCCGGTGAAAAAGCGGTGAATTTCCGACAGACGCAGGAAAGGTAAAGCAGCCATCGCTTTGACTAGCAGTCGTAAAACAGACGACGTTAACTGCGCCAACCCGCCGACGCCGTTAAGGAATGAGGGGTCTCACCGCACACGAAAGGACGGAAAAAGTATTTGGGAGGGTTCTTAGCAAACAAACCTCGGCGCCTCAGGACACCTCGCCAGCGAGTCCTCTGACTTCCCTCCTTAATGCGTGTCTACTAGTTGTTAGACATCAACAACGCACCGCTCGAGTTATTTCGTCTGACCTCTCTGAAAGGCGAAGTTGAACTCGCTCGTAAAGGCTTGCACTTCCGAAAGTCGCAGGAAAGGTAAGACAGACGCAGACGACGTTGCGAGCATACGACGTTGCAAAGGAGCAGACGACGCTCAGATAGGGGGTCGCGATCAGCCAATCAGGGCTCGGCGTTTTGACGTCACCTCTACTTCCTTTCTCATGCGCAGAAGACGAAAATGAGCCCACTTGCGAGGCGTATTGGTTCCTCTAGAATTCCGGCAATCATTGGGAACCGGGACTCGAGCAATCGGCTCGCCGGCGTCATGAAAGGTTCCGACGGATACGCCGGCACAATCTCGAACAGGAGAGTAAGGACGGGAGCAGAACGCGGCAAATTCTGGGAGCTAACATCTCCGGTCCTGAGAGAAACAACGAAAAAAAAAAGCGACAAAAGAGCAGAGAAAGAAAGCAGACGAAGGGTTAGGCTGCTGCGACATGTTGCTCGGTGGCTTGTCAACTTTATTTAATTCTGTCAATGCGCGATTTCGGTGTTTTTCTGCAAAGTAAGAGAAAACAACAAGGTTCATACCTTACAGTGATGTCTTGTCGCCGTGCGTAGAGTGACTAAGTGGTTCTCGATAGAAAAGCTTCGTACCCTAACTAAGGGTTTGTGGACAGCACTTCGTGTCAGGTGAGGTACCTTTTTGCTGTGCCTAGGACAAGAAAATATTCTGAAATGTGGTTATACAAAGGCGGCTCTCTGACTCTATGACACTTCTCCTGCCTCATTCGGCGTCAAGGCCCTGATAGCAGACGACAACGTTGGTTTCGATTTCGAATCTAACCGAAAAATTACGTCAGCTGAAAAATGTTTAGGCTAGGTGGCGCAAGCTACCGTCTGATGCCTAAAGACAGGGGCCATTATTAGGAGCAACTTATCCATGGATTAAAACAAGTCATCGCTCTAGCCATAGTATTTAACAATCTATTATTTCAGGTTCGAATCGATCTTCACATAACTCTATTTAGCCTTTGTAGTAAAAATCGCAAGTAATTTAGAATCTAATCTTGATTCTAGGTTCTGATGGAGTTTAAAGCGCTAGATTCCTGACTGCCATTTTACACGTGTTCTCAAAGTCTCACTCTTTGCAAGAGTTCATTTGAAAATAAAAATATTGATAGTGATAGTAATAACAACTACAGAAATATATCAACCTGTAGAAACCATAGGTAGGAACACTCGGTAAAAAATATGTGTACAACTAGCAGCGCCATAGTGTCGAGAACCGTTTTGTAGGCTCGGGGCCAGGCCTAACTTCAAAACAAGCACTCAACGACTGCCGCCTGGTGAGATATCGTGACCTCTGTCCTGTCCTACCTGCGATTGCAGTCAGACGTGTTTTTCGCGCTTCCCCGAATCCGATCGTGGAATCTAAGCAAAATGTCCCGTTTCAAAACGATTCTGGCGGCTTCGAGAAGTCTCAGTTTGTCCCGAACTAAATTCGCCAGCGTCGTAAACTCTCTTGATCTCGTCGCGGTGACTGGGAGCGGCCAACGAGCACTCTGCACAACATGTCTGCTCAACAAGGCTGAGGACAGGAGGTCTATGATGGCGTCCCTCCCCAAGAAAGACGAAGGCACTCAGGGCGATAAATCGGCCGACATCGACGCTTCCCACCTAACGTAAGTAGAAATTCGTCGATCCGCCCAAGTTCCGCGCGCTTCGCGGCAAATTTTAGCGAGGTCCGTGTCGAGTTTGGGCCATTTTCCGCTAGCTACGTGGCAGCTAACTCCGGCCTCCCTCCCCGATTAGGCGAGTTAAAAATGGCGATTCCTTTGTTCCTCGAGCTCGATGTTCGAGGTAGCCGCACGCGCCGATCACCACCCGAGCAGCGCTCGTCGCAAGGGAGGTTCTCGACGGTAATCGCTTTTCGACGTCGTTTTGCTGTCCCCAATTTCGCGATTTAGTAGTGGATTAGCGGATCCCAGCTGGGTTGGATTTACGCCCTTTTCGGGGTGGGATTTGGGGCCTAGAGTTCGACGCAGTGCTCGGATAACCTGCTGACGTTGCTTTCTGGGAAGCCGACCACTTTAGATCGGGTTGCAGGCGACGAGGAAGCCGAGCCATTTGAGTCGGCTGCGTCTTTTCTGTACTAGAGTCCACCATTTTTTCCCTTCACATTCTAATAGAGCTTGTGATTTCGTTCCGAGTTAGAGCAGACTCTTCAAAGTGCCCCGGGGGAATATTTTCCGAGGCTGTCTGGCTAGGGATCGCCGAGCGTTTTTGCCGTGGAGTTTTTCGGGAATTCGAACGGGCTAGGCTTAACCGTTTTATTATATCCTGTTTGTCGTCGTATTGCATCTGGTTAACAACGACGACGATTTTGTTTCCCCTCGAAGTTCCACAGCCGTGCCGCCGCCCTCGCAGTCGCGACATTTTTCGTAGAATTCTGGCATTTTTTTTTCCAGGATCCTAGATTTTTCTCTCGACGGCAGCCATCCGCTGGTCGTACGCCGACCCAAGCTACACATTTTGAGAACTTGTAAGCGGAGATTTTGCTAGAAGTTTCCTAAGCCTTTTTAAGCATTGTTTTTTTATTTGATTAGCTTAGTGGAAATTAAGCTTTCTGGGGTGGGGCGCATTTTGTTTTCCTGTCTGCTTGAAAGTCGTTTTTTCCTTGCTATGCTTTTTGTGTTCGTACCGCCGTATGTTCCCAGTTAACTTTGTTCATATTGCATTCAACCTTTGATAGCAGCTGCTGTGCTCTAGTATTTCAGACCATAAGATGGTCGCTGGAATTGTGTTGACGATTCCTGGCGCGAGATCTAATGTAGGACCTGGGAAACTGCTTTTGTGTGCAGTATGTGCGAGTACCTAGGTATCATATTTCTTGTTGTGATTGCATGTTTGACATTTGAGCTGTGGATTGTGGGTGATTTCAATTCGTTCTTGTGAGAACATTCTATGCTATTCGAGGGTGGTATTGATGATCAAGCTGGCTCTTTCCGAAATTTGAAATTGAATTTTCTATGGATCGAGACTTCATTATTCTCCAACACTTGCATGTATGACTTGCATAATGTCATGCTGCTTACATGATCATACCTTCATAGGTTATATCAGTAAGGAATTGCATTATTTTTAGTGAGGTTATTATTTCCAGGTTCATAATTTCTAATTGTTTGTGAAATATTCCATGTTCATGAGACTTGCATTGGGGGCTGTGTGATTTCTGTTTATTTTTGTTTTTAATTAATAGCAACCATCATGAATTTTTTTTCTGCAGACTCGAATGCTTCTTTTTTTTGTGTGTGTGTGTGCACGCATAACTTGCTTTGTTAGTTTCTCTTGTGTTCATTTGGTTTAAAAACCTGAATTATTCTTGCTTCTCTTTACCACAGTAACTACTCATAACATCTGGCATAGCTTTTGAGGTGTTATATACATCATGATGCCCGATACTGGGAAGGAAACTTGTGAAGTTATCTTAGAAGAGAGACTAAAGAAAAGATGACAGACAGGCATTTTTGACATACTTATTCGTAACCTTCTGTTCCTTCTAAGATATCTTCAAGTTTCCTTCCCAGTCTCGGGGTGTAAACATCATGACTACTATGCACCAGGGTGCCTGCACATTGACCATTTTTTTCAACTGTATTCATGTTGCATATGAACAATTTCTGGTGGACCCTATTGAGAAGTCTCGTGTCCGTCCGGTCAACGATTAACTGAACTTTGATTATTGGTGGCAGTGGATAAGAAACCTTGGTACCGAATAAGTAACGTGGGGTGCATGTCTTCTGCGAGATTTGTGCATGTCTTGTATTCCCCGTTTGTCGCATTACTCAGTCGCGATAATTTCATACAAATTAGCTTTCTTCCTTAGTATTCTAGTATGTTTTCTTGTGTAATTAGCTTTTCTCTTCAGTATGTTTAGTGTGATCTCTTGTGTATGCTTTTTCACAGCATGCTTTACCTGTGGACCCTGGTTCATCAAGACGTGCTGCTCTTGGTTGATCAAAATTGTTAGTCTTAGAGGGACCCTGGTATTCAGCATGACTTCTTTTTGTCTGCACTCATTAAATCGTGGTGTTTTTTTTTTGTTTTTTTTTTCTTTTCTGCAGCAGGAGCATGTTTCCCGACGAAGACACCCCCAATCTCCTCTTCGATGGCGTCCGGTTCCAAGATCTGCCCATCTGCCACATCAAGTGTAGCCTGAACAACACCATCTTGGCACTGACCGACCGAACAGGTCCGTGATCCAAGGTAACTGCTTTTTTGTGCTCTGGTGCGATGACTTGCACTTTTGGACTTTTCCCTGTTGGGGTGCCTTCCTCTGGGGGGTAGGGGGCATTTTTGGTTTGAATATATTACCTTGGAGATCACTCCAGTCTTCATTTTTATTGCGGTGGTTTACTGTTTTTTTTACTGTTCAACTGTCATGTCTGCATGGTAGTTGGGTGTACCATATGAACTGCTTATTTTTTTTTTTTATTCTTTGTATATTTTTTATTGGCAATTTAGTCAAAATGTATATGTGCCATTTTTGCTGCGCTCACAGGTTCTGAGAATTAATATGCATGGCAAACTTTGGGGTAAACATCATAACTGTTTCTTGTAGTATATTTTGGTATGTTTCTGTTGGTTGTTGCGTCAGTTAAGGAACAATCCGAAACTTGTGTATATTTTTGTACAGGCTATTTTTAAGTCAATTCATGTGTGAGAAAGTTTCAGAACATGGTGTGCCTTGGTTATTTTTGTTATGTTGAAATATTAATTCCTTTCACTTCTTTTTGGGAAGTAGCGAATTGCCATTGAGTTGCCCCACAGCTCTTGCTGTCCCGTTGAACTTTAACCGTGTCTCCGAGGACAAACGTGCTGTGGACAGAAACGCAAAGGCCTAGCCTGCTATGTCAGCCCTCGGTCGCAGCTTTGCAAAGTCTGGGGCTGACACGAATGCTATGTACAGACGACAGATCATCCTTGAGCTGTACAAAATCAACCCTCCTTCCTCAGCTGTGTTCTTGTCAGTTTCTAATGTCTTTTTTGTTTCATCTGTTGCAGGTAAACCGGTTGCCATGAAATCGGGCGTAAGTGTTATGCAAATTCCACATCTTTCACCTGCATTATTTTTGTCTGGAGGCAAGTTGCTGTTGGGTGCTCATTTTACGTTCTCTCAAACAGGGAACTGAAGGCTACAAGAATGCCAGGAAAGGTACAACTGTTGCGGCGCAAGCGGCGGCACTCAGCTTCAGCTCGGTGAGTTCCTCCCACCCAACTGGTTCTTTTTTTGTTAGTTAATTTTGTCTGGCGTGGTCTAAACGATCCGATTAATCGGCTGCACTTGCGAACCCATACGGTAGCCGCAGGGGTTTGGGTGGTTGCAAAAGAGGTGGGAAGGTCTGATCGTTGTTTGTTTGCACGGTTTTACAGGTTGCCGAACTACGGGCCATCAAGAACATCAGGGTCATTGTCAAGGGCCTGGGCCCAGGAAGGCTGGTGAGTTGTTTCCCCTCTCATGTCCTTTGCTAGTTGACAGTAGGGAGCTCAGTGGCGCTCTAAGGTCAAGACCTCTTTGTTTCAGCAAATCTTGTTCGGCAGTCATTACACGATGTAGCTAGGGCTGTCTTTACTCTTCGCTAGCCTTGGTTGCGATTTGCATTTAAAAACAACGCGGCGGCCTGGCGGTAGCTGGGTGGGCGCTTTTGGCTTGCTCTCTCGATTGGCTGATGCTTTGTATCGCCTGACCACATTGGGTCGGAGTAGTCACGTAAGCGTAATCTGAACAAACCCAGAGTGGAGCGTTTAGAATATGCAGCTTGCGATTATTAAGACGGCAGCTTGATTTTGCAGGCGTTCCTAAGAGCCACCCACAGTGTGGGGGTTGAAAGATACACCTAAATTTCTCAGGGGCAAAGTGGAGATCTTAAAATGGTTGCAGCAGGTGCTACAAACATAATTATCACTTACGCACTGTCCTTGGAGTGATATTTAAGCTTTGGTGCACAAACTCTCGACACATGTTGTGACAAACACTCTTTTGATTTCAACCGTGCCACTGCCTCTTTAATGATGTTTGGGGACATTTACGTCTGGTGGCTGTGCGAAGGAAGAAGCTTCACTTGTGTGCTCTAGTTACAAAGTCTGCACTGCACAGTTCCAGCTGCAGGTTTCAAAGCTCTCAATTATTTTGAGGGGTTGAGGCATTTGTAATAGGCCAAATCTCAACAAGTCCTTAAATTCTTCTTTCAGTATTTGCCTAAGTGATCAATGTGCACATGAAATGTGCTGCATTGGGTTACAACCTTTCATAGCTGAGACTTCTTGCCTAGTGGCAAGCCTATCTAACAAGACTTGTTGCAAATGCCATTGTTGGCAGCAGTGGTTGCTTGTTGAACCAATCACAGTACTGCACTCCAGGTGCAAAGATCTAGCCCTCAGAATATTTTTAATACCAGACATTTGTTATCACCATCAGTGTGCGAATCGAATGCAATAGTAATTTTGTAGTCGTATGGCGTTCAGCGTAGAATTTATGAAATGCATACTCCGAAAATTGGACCATGTTTTTTTTTTATGTGAAGTTCTGCACACTGCCAGTCGGCTCCAATAATACAATATTAGTGCATGCTCACTTGGAAGTTGACATTGAATGCAACTTTTATTGTTCCTGGCTTGGGCCATAGATCAGGTCCCTTTGTCTCACTAATGGTCACGTCCAAGGTTGCAATGCAGTTTCATGCCCTCTGTACCCCTTTTCAATTAACAAAGGCAACAAACAGAAGTTTCGTTGCTTGATTACATACGGGATGCTATTTATGCTGTGGATTTGCATGTTCCTTTGGCAACACTCGCAAACAGAGACGTTAACTACCAGCACGCACTGCTTGCAGTCAGGCATAATTATTGGATACCATGATTATACCAGATTGCAAATACTGACATAATGAGAACTTCGAAGTGCGTGGACCAACTGCAAAAACAAGTGTGAGCTCTGCATTCGATTGTGCTTCGACTGAATGAACGTTCGGGCAGCAAGGCAAGAAGACCATCTTCTCACGCCTTTGGTGTTAAACCACGTTAAAGTGAGATAAAGTATAATGGTAGCAAACTGCATATTTCAGGTTCCCATGTTTGTTGCTTGTGCAAGTTCGTGTCCAGACCAAAGTTTTATATTACCTTCTCTACTTTGGAAGGTTGCGGAAAAAGTTTGGGGCATGTTTCTTCGCAGGCATCCATCAAAGGTCTTCAGATGGGCGGCTTAAATGTAGTTTCGATCACCGACCGGACGCCAGCACCTGAGAAGTGTCCTCGTCCACGCAAAGCAAAGAGGCTTTGATTGTCATCACGTCTCGTTGGTTTACGAAAACATACCTTCATCACTTTCATCAGCTGAAAATTGTAGAATATATTTCTGTAAATAAAAGCTTCAGAAGTTACTACATGTTATTGTCATTGCAGTTCTTACTAGTTGTTACTTTTCCCTAGCGGTCGCGATTTTTCTAGCAGACGACATTGAGTCGATATTTCTTGCACGGCGTCCCTTTCTAGACGTTTCGTGCGGGGACTTCTGGACTGTCTATGAAATGCCGACGTTCCGTTGCGGGTTCTGTTCAAAAAGTCGCGGTATACTTTCTCGGGAGATCACGCGGTGCCTTCAACGTCATTGCGCTGTGACGACGGGGAAGAAGGTTTTAAATATGGCGGATACAATGATCGCTGCTACGTTGCGAAGCTCGGACGCTCCGCAGTTTTCGCGTGGGTAAACGCGTCGCCGGCAATCTTTGCCGCATGTTTTCGACTCCCAAGTCGGCCCGGGCGTCAGCCGACTCGAGTTTTGGCCTTTAAACTGCGCCGGGAAGAAAGTGGGAGCGGTGCGGACATCGCGGAAGTTCCTTCCACCACCCATGATGGCATCGGTCGGCGAGCGGAGGCCATTTTGGCCGAGGTCGAGGCGTTAGGCCTACCGCGCCTCGTCGTCGTCGTCGCTTCCGAAGTCGTGCACCTTTGACCCGCTCCCCCGGAAGAAGTGTATGCCTGTGATTTTTTTTATTTTCTTTTTGTTGGCATCGGAAGAGGACTGCAAAAAACTTCGTTTTCTTCGGATTGTGCCTACCCCCCGGACTTTGCATTCGTTGCACCGATCAACGTGCTAGGACTTGCGACACCACGTCGATTCTTCGGGAGCCGAATCGGCTGCGCACACGATCGAAGGTAGGCACGCTACGATTTTTCGTCGCTTGTTCCGTCACCCCCCACTCCCTCGCCTCTTGTTTATCCGTGGCATATGATAGTAGTGTGTTCTTGATTATTCAGTGACGTTTTATAAAACCCATCGCGCGAATTCGGCAACTTAGAAACATTTCGAATTTTGGTCCCGTCCACCTCGCCGGGTTGTGTTGATACCGGTGTGCTTTTCGTCGTCTTCGCTCTCGCTGTTTCGTTGCACTTTTCGATCGAGTGCGTGCTCCTTACATCTCGCAGTATGCTCGACACCCTTCTACCCCTTTGTCTGTGCCCCCGGAGTCCATATGTTGAACGTGGCTTAGCGGAGGCGGCCCCTTTGCCCGTCGGCTTCGCTGACTTCGCCGTCGCTTTCGAAGAGCGTTGCCTCGGGGCCGTGCTCGATGCTTCATTGCCGACTTCAACCTGCTATAATTGAGTGTAATTGAATGTGTTTCTCGGTTTTGACGAGAGCGTGGAGTACGCCCCTGGCGTGACATTCAGGTGACCTTGTTGATTTTGCGTTTCGACGTGGACCCATTTGAGCAAATTGCGTCTCTTTTTCGGATGTCTTTGCTGATCGCAATTCACCAGCTCGGCGGTAGCGGTGCTCTTGATTGTCGGCGTTTTGTGGAAAGTTCTTATTTCTTTGTAACCTGTGGATCCTTTCGATGATACCTTTTTTTTTTTCCTGGCCCGTGTTGGATTTTGAATTTGCATCGGTTGTTTATGTTGAGCTTCTGAAGTTTCAAATTTGCGTTGTCGGCTGCCTCCACTCTGCTATCCATTGCAACCACTTCAATTTGTGGTTTGTCAGCCCCTTAATTCTCTTATCGGGATCTGCCGGGCTAGGACTAGCCTCTATTTTCTCGTTCAGCGACGTGATACTTGTCCAAATTTTCGTCTCGATGCGGTGGTGTGCGGCCGATGCGACGTTGAGTAGTACTTTGCCGTAGCTACTGACTCGTGTCAGATGTTTGTCCTACTTTACATGCCAGCTGCTTTGATACATTTGGATTGATATGACTTCTGCACCGACACTCAATTAGCTATAGCCTTTGTTGACCTTTCATGTAAATGTTCCTTTTGCTGAACAAGTCACACACAAACCAATCTTTTTTTCCATCAGATTAATTGGGCTTTCAGGGCACTCGGCGTTTTGTGACCCATTGGTATTTGAAGGACCCAGCTTTACATAGTTTGCACACACATCATTAGTTCGCACACACATTTTATTGACCACGCTGATGCTTCATACGCTGGATGCGTGCCTTGCACCACGCTAATTACACACTGTACGAGGCTTATGTGCAAGCTGGATTGTCTTGACTTTAGTTTTCTTGGGTAAGGTGGCCCAGGACTCTTGTTGCAACTTTTTTCCTTAATTGGACGTCTTTGGATGAACGGTGGACTTCGGCAGCATGCTAAGTGGTGCCACATTGCACCGCTTGGTTCAGGTACGTGGTTTGTTGTTTCATTGCACATTTCTGGAGTAGATTTATTACGCGATTAGTAGGACAGACACAAACTAGTAGCCTCTTAGAAAATGTCGCTATCGAAAGGGTGGATGTTCGTTAACGGCTAGACCCATCATAACAGGTGGTAGCTTGTGCCGCCTACCGTTTTTGGTGCTATGCCACCTGGGACTCTATCCACTGGGCACTTTATTCCTAGTCATTACCATTTTAACTCTGGCTCAAGTATTAAAGGCTTGTATAACATACTTTTGGCTGCACATTAAAAAAAAGTTGGTCTCTACGTATCCTCTACTAAGGTCTCCTGGATTCCTAGAAGAGTCTAAACCCCTTTGAAGTTGTCCCAGTTGTGTCTGCTGCTATACTCCGTTCACCTTTAAGCTGAGACTAGAAACTCCACCTTCAGCGCGAGCTTTCTGCCCTTGCAAACACTAGTGTGCAACATGCAGGCACGCCCACCCAAAGCACTGGCGACGCCAGCTAGCTCTCGCTGAAGGCTGAGCTTCTCGTCTCCGCTTAAGGGTGGTTGGAATATAGCAGTGCATAGCCTTGACTGATTAGGGATAACTTAGTTTGATGAGACGGATGGATAGCTGGTGACAGTCAAGAATGCAGTAAACTCTCTGCCCCCAGCTCGAGCTTTCTGCCTTCAAGACTCTTCGTTGCCCATGCAGTTACACATACAATTGGGTCACTAGTAAAAATGAACTATGAACATTTAGCGCAGTTCTTGGACATCGTAATGGCATTTGGAGAGAAGCATACATGTTTGATGAAGCCTGGTGGAAGGCAATGGGTGTGCTGGAGGCTGAGCTGTTGTATTTTTGGCCCGTTGCCAAATATAGTATGTTACAAAGCAAGTCCCTGCAACAATCTCCACTGTTGCAGGGACTTGCTTTGTAACATACTACACACCCACCAAGGTTGGTGCCGGTGAGCCCAAAAAGCCATACTTCGTTCACCCTTTGGCTGTTAAGGTGGCAGGAAGCAAGAGCCTACTGGTTGCTTAGCAAAACATGCCTTCCTAAATAGAGTGCTCGTTCCATGTAAGCCTGTTTTAAAGGGTTGGGGACATAAAATTAAACGAGTAAATTCTTGAAATGGAACGCTCGTAAGCTGCTTAGCCTATACACCAAGGTTCATAATTGTTAGATCTCTAGCAATTGCAATAAATTTACGAATGTCATCATTTCCATCTGGTGACCAGGCAACGTTGCACCATGTTTTATCAGGTTTGAAGGAACATACAATCGATCCTAGCAGTGTAGCTGTCTTCCATTTCTCTCATGTCCTAACCCCTAATCTTGTTTTTGTATGTAGCTTTTACTCCTTGCAAGTATGCATAGGTGCTGTTCGAGGTATGGAAACAATAAAATCGGTAGTCCACACTGTCGAAGGTGTAGTGTGGAAGTGGAGATGAATTGCATCCAATCTGCTTGGAGCAGCCATCTTAATTCAAGTATGAATATGTGGGCAGGTACTACAACATTGGCGGATAAAGAGCTTGTTTATGCAAAAGCAATAGCATCCAACAATTGCCTTGCTCCAAACCTGGCAGCAGATTTCTTTGCACGATGCGAGCACCTCCCAGATAAGAAAGCCTAAGTGCCGAATTTTCCTGCGTTGCTGAAAGACATCGTAGGCCACAGATTGGAGACAAGTGCTGCTTCAGCGTTCGCTAGTAACTTGTGTCCAATCGGTGAGAACGAGACTCCTTGTCGAACGCAGACACCATAGTAGTGTCCAATCTGAGGCCTATGGTGGCCTTCAGTGATGCAGGAAAATTCACCGCTTGGGCTCTCTTATCTAGGTCTCGTACATACACCCACTGTCTGAAAATGGGTTTCAGAATCTACACGGTGTCCATGAGTGCCAGAAGACAGGAAATATAGGGGTATTCACTTGACAACTTATTTGAGGACGATGGCACGTGCATTCACAGAACGAGCTCATTATTAGGCTGCTAAGACCGGAAATCTTGTTGGTGTGGGATGCACATTGCCCAAGAACTCTGGAAGCTTGCCGTAGGCACGTGCTTGGCATTTGCGCACACATCTGTGGCTGTCGGTGAATACTATGCAGGACGCAATGCTCATATGCTTGCAGCTTGCCTGGGGTGTGTAATTTTTCAAATTCATGGTTTGAGAAATTTTAACTTCGAAACACTGACTCATTGCTCCAAAGAATTCCGGTTTGCCTGAACTTGTGCTCAATCCTATGGGGAATTTCTACCTGCTCTCAAACTGCGAATTCCAACAGTTGGTCTTTAGACCAGTGAAAATTTGTTGGCAGCTGCCAGAAAAACTGCTTATCTGAGACTCGTGCAAAACTGACGGCACCAAGCGGGAAAACCGGGAACCAGCCGGAACAGGTCGCTTTGTGCCTCTCCGCATGTCTGGCGGCTTTCGTGGACACTTGTTGTCGGCGTGGTGGCGAACAATGTAATTTGACGAAGATCTGATTATTTCTTAAGTTTGCCTGAGTGTTCTTTAGTGTGGTGAAGAAGCCTCAGTATATTGTTTCCTTCCATCACGTGTTTGAAAGCTCGTTTATTCCACAGCACATGGTCGCATGCTTTCGATATCTTGGATGGGGGGAAGATATCGCGGAAAAACGTTTTGATTTGTTTGTCTCGAAAGTGACAATGCTTGGTAACTGATAAGTGGTTTCTTTATAAGGATGTAGAGCAGTGGACTGGGGACGACAAACGAGGTGTTTCACTGGAGGGAACACCAATTTTGTCA